TTATGACCTGAGCCAAAGGCAGACGCCTAACGACTGAGCCACCCAGGTGCCCTGCACTCCGTATTTCTTAACCACCAGAATGTTAAGAAAGGGCGGTCAGAAGCATACCCATCAAATTCCAAGAGCCAGGAAAAGTGAGGTGGTTTGCCTGATACGAGAACCTGGAAGTGGTGAACCATAATATCACCCACATAATCTGTATCCCATTAAAACCTTTGAAACTCCTATCACAAAACATGGCCAGAGCACCATCATAGCAAAAGGCCAACAGACCAAAGTTAAGTAGGAAGTCTTTGGAGGAATGCAGGTGGGAGACAAACACCCTGCACCCAACAGTGCCCCAGACTTCTGTGTGGAAAACTGAGCTACTCAATACCTAGAGAGAAATTACGATAAAGATTGTGGAATTATAGGGGGATCATATAGTTCTCACAGATGCCTCTCTTAATTACAAAAAATGAGTACCATAATGACTCAGTATTGTGTTAACAGATTTGAAGTCATTTTCTATTTCAAAATCCATTATTGAAAAGGGACAACCTAGGGGCGCCTGGGTGGCTCAGTTGTTAAGCATCTGCCTTCGGCTCAGGTCATGATCCCAGGGTCCTGGGATCGAGCCCCACATCAGGCTCCTGCTCGGTGGGAAGCCTGCTTCTCCCTCTCCCACTCCCCCTGCTTGTGTTCCCTCTCTCGCTGTGTCTCTCTCTGTCAAATAAATAAATAAAATCTTAAAAAAAAAAAAAAAGGGACAACCTAGGATGTGGAAAATAAGGGAGTAGGGGAATAAGAAAAATAGTCTACCTACCATTGTTAAAATTGTCTTGGATTTTTTGTCCATGCATTACTTTACTTACTGTAAGATGCAGTGGGGAGGTAACCAAATAGTAATGAGGGAAAGTTTATGAATTCAGATATGGAGAGAAAACACTTGTGTAGTTTCAAGATGTAAGGGACAACAATTTCAAGTATTCTCCTCAGACCCTAATTGAGAACTGCTTGTTAAAAAAAAAAAAAAAGGCTACTTGGAAAATTTAACACAGGATATCTGATATTTTGCAAGGTGCAATAGGAGTATATGGTGCTTATGTTTAAAAAAAGTTGATAGATGGAATTGCTATGATGTCTAGGATTTGTTCTTTTCAAAATAATCACGGGGGTGGGGGAAATGAGAATACAGATGAAATGCATTTGCTTACTTAAGGGTCCTTTTGGAAGCTAGGTAATGAGGAAAGGAAGGATCATTCTACAATTCTTCTGTATTTGGGTGTGTATATGAATTTTAATAACTTTTAAAAAGTAATAAAAATGTTTTGACTTCAAATATGCTTACTCACTGAAAAGGCTACCTCCTAGAATTCATCTGTGCTGATTGCTGTGCAAATGTTGGAACGTGGACTATAGCCTCTAGCAAGTGGGTCAAGGCCTCTGACAATTTGCCTTGGACAAATGACAGGTGACCCTTGAACAACATGGGGGTTCGGGGGCACTGGCCCCCTGCACCGTGGTAAATCCGCATGTAACTTCTGGGTCCCCAAAAACGTAATAGTCTAATGTGGACTGGGATACCATGGTCCTTCACCGCATACGTTGTATGCTCTATGTATCAATAGACTATATTGCTACAATAAAGCACACTGAGGAAAGGAAGTATGGAGAAAATCACAAGGAAGACGAAACCCATTTGTAGTCCTGTACTGTATTTATCACAGTCCACACATAAGTGGACCTATGCAGTTCAAACCCATATTGTTCAAGGGTCAACTTGTAGCTAGCTACAAATGACAAAAAAATTGAGAAGAAAATTACTCATTATTTAAGTTAACATATTCCACCGTTTTCATAAAATTTGCTTATATATCCTTCTACCCAATTTTTAAAGTTAGTGTACACTTAATGCCCAACTCTAACATTACGACGTGTTCTAATAGAGGAACAGAAATATGGAGGATTATGTTTTTGAGACCACGTATTTCAGTCTAGAAAATTATGTGTTGGATTAGTTTGATACTATAAATCATTTCTAACTACACAGAAAAGATGCAGAATGTAGTGTTTGCTTTTAGTTTATTAATTTATTTTGCAGGAATCTTTGAATTTCCGAATATGTACTGTTTGGAAGTACGATGCATGCATAGCCTTTTAAGATGCCTTTGTACAATTTCACCTCAAAATGATTCACAGCATACACAGAAATCTAAAAGAAACATGGTATTTACAAGATTTAATAAGTTCTTGCTGTTTTAATGAAGAAACATCAATTCTTTTACAGTAGGGAAACATGGACATTGGGTGTCATTATAAATAAGAATTCAGAATTGTTCAGTCTCAAAGCAACTTTTCATGGCTTTAGAAACTAAGACTGTCATCATCCTATTAATCTCTGAATGCCCAAGCCATGCAAAATCTACTTGTATTAAATATTTGGGGATGCAAATAATAAAAAAAAATGCAGGTCTAGTGAATGTGAAAACTTTTACAGTAAGAAAATACTGTTAATTCTTTCAAAGAGATACAGTAGTGGTGCAACAGACAGTGCCCAATTTATTCTGATTTTTTATAGTTAATATTTCAATGGTCATTTTTCTTGCTCGACCAATATACAGACACACATTGTAACATGGATTCATTCAAAGTCTGAACAGTGGTTACAACAGTAAAATAGATCAAATTTAACTATGAAGGGACATCTTCACATTCCAGGATACATCACCGATATTTTCAAAGGACAATTTTTCTATGCCTTATATCCTTGTTTTTTGTTTATACTGTCAAAGACATTATTACAGTCACCTTTTAAAATACTATATAAAATGGAGTTGCCACAGAAAGCTGGATATGAACCCCCAATAACCGGGACAAAACAATGACAAAATTTACGGAAACGGTATTTTTTTTTTTTAATAATTAAAAAGTACTAAAATCGAGACCAGCTCCTTAAAAATTAAACTGCTCATCACACTTCCCATTTCGTTCAGGGAAAAAAACAAATTAGCAACACTTTCCCCACCATCCTTTATCTTCTCTAAAACTACCTTTTCTACAATGCAGTTCTTTTATTTCTTTAAAACCTCCTGCCTCTTTGCTCTCGCATACAAGGTCATTATCAATTCCAAACATTTGACAATGCGTAGCAAGTTTCTGGCTCCTCTATTCCCACTTTAAAATTCTGCAGACCTACTCCAAAAGTTAAGGGGCAATGTACTTAAAACAGCAAATGTGCTTTCTAAAAACCCAGTTTACAAAGCCATGAAATAGTGTAACATGTATCGTCAGGCCTATGCGTTACCAGGTACATCAAACTAGTCATGTTTTCAGAAACAATACTTTTTACTAGAAACACAAAGTGCACCCACGGAACCAGAGAGCCGAAGTAGGGCGGCAGATGGGCACTGCGCGCCTTCTCTCCTCCCACTCCGACGCCGACTGTGCCTGCACGTCCATCTGACCAGGAGACCTTTTGCAAAGGCACCTTGAAAGTGGACTGAATTCTTGCTTAAAGCGGTCACGGGCAAGTATATACAGGGGACACAGGTAAACCTCCCAAATGTGTGTCAGACAGTTTTGCTTACTTGAAAAACTGAATACAGCCTATGCTGGTCTATGAAACTTGGGCACAACCAGAACTGAACACAGACGAAACATCTTTAAAATCCAGCTCTGATGTCTCCTACCCCACCCTCTACACCTATCAGAGAGACTGGCTGCTTCTTTTTCCTGGCAGGTGAAAACGATGATTTACTAGATAGATCACCAAAGGACTGGAACCATGCATCTAGGGTATGAGAACAGCTTATTAACCTGGATGTGTGTTCATGCAATAGTTGTAAAGTCATCTACAGGGTTTTAATATAGCATCCGACTGTTTGCATACATGCTACTTTCATTCTCAACCGACAAGTGCCAAGTTAACTGCTGCCCCTTCAGCAGATCTAAGAATACTGGTAAACCTTTAACTAGAACACCAAGCAGGATATATGTTTTTCCCCTAATTTGTTATTTAATACCAAGTGGGGTTGATCATCCCTAAAGAGATACGAAACCATACAAAGGCGAAGGCCTTGGCATATTATAGAATAGTAGGACTGAGAGACGGCTACTGGAGACGGACAGATCCCAGTGTCACAGAAACCTTAAAAGAATGCCATTTTCAGGTCAATGCTTTTAAGCCCATCTGTTTTCTCACCATTATTTTCACAGTTTGGCCACAGTTTTATGAGAGATGTTTTATCAGTGTCATCACATAGCCACGCATTCCTTTGTGAGACGAGTGGATAATTGGGGGGGGGGGGGATTTTCCACATAGGAAAAAAACGTTTTCAAAGCTGTAGGCCGAGTGTGAAATTAGATGATTTTGATGGAAAATGATGATGGGTTATTAAGCCTTTGGTTTCATTATACTATTAAGTGCAGCTTGTTTTTCCAGGTCTGCCAGATATCACTTCTAAAGTAGAATACAATGAGAGCTTGAAGAGCGTGCATGCGCGCGCGCGCGCACGTGTGTGTGTGTGTATAGTGGGGCACACGGTATGGGAGAGTAGAGAGTCCTCAAATTAAAACCTCTGGTAAAATCCTTTAGGATTAGAAGCCCTACTGACTTTATTGCTATTTATATTCACCCAAATAACAGGAAGATTCCAAAATCCAATTCTGAGCTAGGAAGGAAATTCAACAGTGATAGAGACCTTAATTAAATGTCCTATTCATAATTTTCCAGTGGTACACCCTAGTGAGTCACATGATTTTATATCTCTTCAGTTATTCATGCCCTAAAGTTGGGGTTTCATAAACAAGGAGTGCTTTAGTATCACCTGAACTACTTGAACAAACTCAGTATTACCTCTGAATACCGTATGTTAAATTGAAACAGTTCTTAGTTTTAAAGTCCTTGGTATTCACCTTTCTCTTAATCCTGTTTCTTGACTAGCCTTCTCTTCCTCCCAAGTAATGCAGTGTACAACTTTATGATCTTGGCCAACTGTAATTTCCCTCACACTGGTTTATTAACATGTGCAAATCAATCTGTATTGAACAGCTATTTTTTTTTTTTCAGCTAAGGATTCTGGCACAAAACACTGTGCTGTAAACATCGTGAATTCGTCACAAAACTGGAAGGAGGGAAAAAAAAAAGGCCCTATGGACTGCAAACACTTCTTACAGAACCACAGCTGAGCTCAAGATTTCCAAATGCATTTTGGAATGGATTTACATTTGGCGTACATTCACTGTGCTATTGGCAAAGCAAAGTTTTACGAGAAGGTCATTCATAAAATCGTACTTGGTAAGGACTTGTTATTTTTAAAGCCAATGGCCTAATAAAAGCATGCAGTAACTTAAAAATTATATCTACTATGTGGCATCATTAGGTCTTAGTTACCAGTGTTGATTTAGCTCGATGAATTATTGTACAAGTAAAAGAGATCTTATCACCTCTGATTGTACTTTTGAAGGCAGGGCAAGATATGCCTCATTCCTGACTGCTACAAATCACATTTTAAGCCACTGTTTGTGTTTGAAATTACCTCTGAAAAAAGCAGCAATTACAAATACCCTTATTATTTTAGCTCCCCCCTCCCCCGCAAAAAAAGTCATATTCTGGGTGCTTTTTCCTGTCCTTCTCAGCAGGCAACAATGGGAAGAAGCCTGGGGAACCTTGGTTTTCTACAGAGCCGTGACCAGGGCAGTCTGCCCCGGGAAGTCACAGTCCGTCTGCATGAACTGTATGTAACATGTCACAGCATGATTGAAAGTTCTAGTTTATAAAGTGAGGGCCGCTCAGCAGTAACTTTAACAACTGGGAGTCCACAGAAGAGTTCTTGACTTCTCTGTGGACATTCTTTCAGGAGTGAATCCTTTCCCAGGTTCAAGTATCCCTTTCTATCTCACTCTGCAATGAGTCAAGAAAGGAAAAAAACAAAAACACAAAATAAAGAGAACGCCCCATTTTTCTTGAGTGAGCACGAGCCCTACAGGGGCGCTGCTCCTCCCCCGGTGGAATCAGAAATGAAAAGGCCGGGCAGATGCACAGACTCCCAAGGTTCCTTTTCTTCTAGTGGGTGCTCCCAGTTTCTCTCTCAAGTCGACGTGGACTCTTGGGAGTTCAAGTGTACCGTGGCATCTCGCACTGCTCACAGCGGTTCAGTGCGGGGTGGTTCAGGAAGGTGCAGCTATCACAATTCCATGGGGCCCCCTCATAGTCTTCATCGCGGGGTTGTGTCCGGGGACTCTGTTTGGAGCCAGTTAGATGCTCTGAGGGAAGTTAGGATCAAGAGAGAAAAGAGATTGAATTTTTCCAAATATAATCCAAACTGAAAAAATTACAAAAAAAAAAAAAGTTTCCTACTTGACCTAAGGTGAAAGCCAGTGAATGTCCATACTACTAGAACAGGAAGTTTATGATACAAATTGTACTTGGTTTGAAAAGATAAATTGAAGTCCAGGATAGACTACCTTCCTCATTCATTATCCATAGATAGTGGTTATACTGTATTCTAGCCGAATGAACAGGAGAAATATCAGGCAGCATGTGAAATTCTGCCCCCTCCCTACTCCCGCCCCCAACTTCAGCCCCCCAGGACACGCCCCCTCATAGTAGTGGCTGTACTGTATTCAATATCCGCTGGGATGTCTGTCTCCTTCTGGCAGACCTGCAGCTTCACAGTGTGTAGGTGTTAATTATAATGGTTGACAATGACTGTGATGGTTCCTGACAAAGTTGCTCCCAGAATGGTTAAGAGAGAGACTATAGTTTTTCATAAAAGCTAAATTCATTCAATGTGAAAGATTGTTTTTTATTCTATTTTTTCCTTTTTGGCATCATAAGGTCCTTCAGATAGTTTTTAAAAATGTCTATATCTGGAAATGTAAAATGCTTGCAACCTTAGGTGGGTCCTCAGGATTTTTTCTTTTTAAAGATTTTATTTATTAGAGAAAGAGCATGAGCCGGGGAGGGGTGGGGGTGGGTGGGGGAGGAGGTGCAGAGGGAGACGGATGAGCAGGGAGCCTGAGCCCCACAAGATCCCAGGACCGTGGGATCATGACCTGAACCAAAGGTTAACTGGCTGAGCCACCCAGTGGCCCCAGGCCTCAGGATTTTCTTTAAAAATACTTGAAACTTAGGGTGCCTAGGTGGCTCAGTCAGTTAAATGTCTGCCTTCGGGTCAGGTCATGAACCCAGGGTCCTGGGATCGAGCCCCACGTCGGGCTCCCTGCTCACGTACTCTGTCAAATAAATAAATAAAATCCTAAAAAAAAAATACTTGAAACTTAGATTCCTCCTAGATCCTCATCTCTCTGGCCTTGAGCTCAAAACAAGGCTCTTTGCTTCGGGAGTTAATTTGTAAATCCTGCTTTTTAGGAACAGTCCCTACTGAAAGTGGCAGCAGTGAGTAGGAGGCTAAAGATATCTGGGTGGAATTCCCCCTGGAATCCGGAGCATGGCCAGGAGGCTCGGAAAAATCTACCTGTAAAACACTGGAAATCATCACTGTGGACTGCAAATGAGATTAAGATCTAAGGTAGGCAGCCTACCTAAACCAGTCACAGAAGAAACTAAGATGGAAGGCTTTAATCAGTTACCATTTGGGGTTAAGTCTATCTTCCAATGGAAATTAATGAGCTCACTTGCGGTTAGCAATTCGTATTTCATGACAAATGGCTGGTGTGAAAAGAGAACTAAGTTTTAGACCTCGAACCTTACAAAAGGCAATAATAAGGCTCAGGTTGAAACAGGAGGGAGATGTTAGCTTTACCACAGAATAGACAACCACTGGGTTCATCAACCTATTCCTAGAACTATAAAAAGAAGAATGGGTTTGTTTCTCTGGCCTCAACTGACGATCTGAGTGGCCATTATCACCCACCTTGTATCTTTTGGCTCATGACTCCAAAACACAGAGACCTGATAGTTTTCTTTTTTGTACAATATGGAAGAATAAAAAGCACATTTAACTGTTACAGCCTTCTGTTAGAGGAAAAATGTTCTCCACGCCACTTCCAGAAAAGGTCCTCTCTCATACAATACTCTTTGGTTTTCAGGGCATTTTGTTCTCCTAAAAGGTAAACACTTAAACCGTATTGCTGTTGGTTTGTAATAAACAGGCTCTGAAAACTCACTTTTATACTTTTCTAGAGCAGGCAACTTTTTACTTCATGAAGTGTAACTCCAAACCTAGCCTTAAATTTTATTTTCTAAACTCCATAAATACCTGCACAACCTATTTTAACGTAACTAATACAGGATACTTGGGGCTCCTCTTCATTGTCTAATACTGTACACAAAGTAAAAACAATTTCCCCTATATCCTTCTGAGTTCTTGCCTGAGACCTGCTCTATAATAAAAGACAGACTAACAAGAGAAGAAACCAAGTTCATTAACCTGTGTACCTCACACACACAGGGCAGAGACCTAGGAAAACTAACTCCCCAAAGGGGGCCAAGCTGCCACTTAACATACCATCTACAGCTAAAGACAAAAGAAAGATGTTGGGGGCAGGGCAGGGGAAGCCAGTTAGGGAAGATCTACCTAGATTTAAGTCAGTTCCCTTCCCCACTGATCCAATTCTCTTTTGATTTAGTCACAAGGCTCTCTGGGAGGGGCAGGGAAACACTTCTAGGTGGAGACTACCTTTATCAATGTAGATGTTCCTTACTCAAGGGTAACTTGTACTCCGTTGTCAGGGCCGCTCCAGCCTTGACAGTCCCTCAGAGTAACCCTTCCTTGTGCCAAAGAGGCGTGTGTGGTGGGGGCACGTTTTCTCCTTCAGGGCCAGGATGATTTAACTTGGAATCAAGTCACTCTGAAGTAACTTATCAAAAAAGTTTTCAAGGCACCTAATTTACAATTATTGTTGGTAAGACACTGCTCATTTCATCACAGGGAAGTACTGTTTAAATAGAAGCCTCTAAGGGCGCCTGGATGACTCAGTCGTTGGGCGTCTGCCTTCGGCTCAGGTCATGATCCCAGGGTCTTGGGATCGAGCCCCGCATCGGGCTCCCTGCTCTGCGGGAAGCCTGCTTCTCCCTCTCCCACTCCCCCTGCTTGTGTTCCCGCTCTCAAATAAATAGAAGCCTCTAAAACCCAAAAGACATTTTAGATGTCCCTTTTCATTTGATTGACAGTTGTAAAATCTTGTCTTTTTATGGACTGTTTAAATAACAAAATATTTCAGGCCTCATAGAAAAAAACCCTTAAAATATGCATACTTATACACAAAGGAAAAGTGAAGTCAATATGTTTTTCCTTTAAGACTATTTTTAGGGGCGCCTGGCTGACTCAGTCAGAAGAGCATGCCACTCTTGATCTTGGGGTCATGAGTTAAAGCCCCACGTTGGGTGTAGAGATTCCAAAAAAAAAAAAAAAGACTTAAAAGACTATTTTTAAATGGGTTAATAGGCCAGATTTCCATAAAAATAATCATCCTCAAAAACATCACAAATCAACAGTTTTACCAATATTGTTTATATTACACAGCATACTTACATAAACTCAAACATAAACAGTATTTTTAGAACCCTTATTTCAACTGAATCCCAGGGTAAAACTCTAGAAGCATTAGAAAATTGCAGTGAGAAGTTATAAAATCCCGAATTTCAAGTTATTTCTTTAATTACTTGGCCTTGCTTTCTAGAAGCTATTATTAGAGCAATCTGTCCAATACGGTGACTACTGGCCACTTGAAATGTGACCAGTGTGAACTGAGATGTGCTCTAAGTGTAAAATGTACACCAGATTTCAAGGATGTTGTACGAAATCAAGAATGTAAAATATCTGGCTAGTTTATATTGACTTCATATTGAAACAATAATACTTTGCAATATACTAGGTGAAATATTTTATGTATCTGCCTTGTATTATATTTCTATTAGACAGCACAGCCTTAGAAACTCTGCTAAAAGAATAATTTTTTTTTAAAGTAATCTCTACACCCAACAAGGGGCTCAAACTCAAAAATCCCAAGATCAAGAGTCGCACGCTCCACCAACTGAGCCAGCCAGTCGCTTGGAGAGAGTAATTTTTTTAAAGGGGCGGGGGGAAGGCAGCCTTTACTTGTGGTAACTCTACATGGGCTAACATGTGTCTTTGGACTTTGTGCACAAAATCCGGACACACAAGTACAAACCCTCAGCAGCTGCTGCCTGGGTGTCATGGACGTCTGCCTGTACTTTGGAGGTCACGCTAATTCTTCGGGCTTTCCTCTCAATTGTGCAAGGGTCTGACGAATCTGCATGAAAAGAAGCAAAGCCAGGAGAAAAGGGATTAAAGCCATCCATGAGAAGAGTGGACAGGCTCCCCAGGATCTCCCATGGGACATGGACGGTTGCCTGTTTACCCTTTCTATTGCTTCATGTTCCCTTTAGTTCTCCTGTGAGGGTAAGTGCCATTTTTAATATTGCTTTTACAACCTATACAGAACAGTGTTCTTAGAACTTTTTCCATCCTCTACAATTACTTGGAATCAGTGCCTAATTTCACCAGTTGCCCCCCTTCCTAGTGCAAACTCAGTGATGGTAATTAAATGTCAATGTAAGGGCAAACTGTGGAAGATGATACTTTAGCAACTGCCTTAGTAAGCAACAGTTATTAGAAAACCACAGGTTGAAAGTACATGATGTGTAAGGCTAGCCAAAGAATCCATTAAAATAATATAAAATTATAGTACACCATAATTAAATAAAACTATAGTACATCATAATTAAAGAGTAGGAGTAGCAGTAACTGAAAAAATCAGAACTCAAAATAATATGGGCTGCAGGTATCCCAATTTTTTGCTAGAATTTTGTTTCTATTAATTTATACATTATTAGTAAGTAGTCCTTTCTTTCTATTAAGACTTGGTATCATTTGCCCTTAAGAACAAAGAAAGATCTTGTATTTTCTGATCCGTTCTGAGCCCACATAAGTAATCCCCTACGACAATCCACCTTTGGAAATCACTGCTCCAGAATTCTAAGCATGGTGCCTCGGTACTTAAACACTCTGTTATCAGAGTAAACAAAAGCAGAGTAAATGGTCTCCTTAGGCTCCAAAGAGTAAGTTCTATTTCTTAAATTTGTAAAGCACTTTTATAGTGTCACATACTTACTCTCACAGACTCTTAACAACAGCCCTGTAAAATACACAAACTATTAAGTATTTGGACTGATCGCCTTTCTGGTGCACAGACTAGAGCCGAACAAGGTCAGGTGGCCAAAACTACCCAGACACACGCTCCAGTAGTGGGACACCAAGGCCAATGCTCTCACCACTGTGTTACCAATGACAGCTTGGGGAGGACTTGGCTGAGTCCGCCGAGGAGCTGACATGCACACTGCACTGCTTCAATACAAAGGTCAGTCCAAAAAGGTTTCCGGGTCTCCCTCTTTTTCCTTCTGTTTCTTTTTCTTACTCTTTCCTTTTTATCACCGTACTTCAGACAAACATCCTTATTCCACTTGGATTTACCATATATGTCTGTAATAACTCCAAGGCATTTATTCTAACCAATAAACCAATTCTACCAGTTATTTATACTTTACCTTAATGTAGATTTTCTTGCAGTATTACTTAATTTAAGCTACATTTTTTTAGAAGAGGCCAATTTAGTTAAAAAATCTGCAAATGCTTAGAAGAAAACAAATTTGACTTCATAGAGAAAATCAAATAGCTTTTAGAAATGTAATGAAAAGCCTTCTTAAGGAATTGTAGCATTAAGTTCTACTGATAAATTTTAATAGAGGTGAAAGGTTTAAAAATTATAAGGGTTACATAATACTATTTTATACTCTCACCAACAGTATATATAATGAAAGCTCAACTGGATTTCTATAGTAGAGATTCATTTATAGTGAAGATGTTAGTTCTCTAGTCTACTCAAAACTGCATAGGTAGACGATATGCTGCCTGGGGGAGCAGTCCTGTCTTAACTTTGTAGCATCAAGCGTCTATCTACATAATCCATCTACATACTGAGCATTTGCTACATAATTTAAAAGTTGGTTGCAATTGGAATTTAATTACAGCTAATTCTGAGGGACTATCCAATTATCAGCTTTAGCAAAATTTGTTTGAATTCAAAGTGCCATAGAATAGAGCTTTTTTTGTATAAAAGTACTTGTAGAGAGCCTGCTGAAGCTTGATATTACAGCGTCCTAATAATGCAAGCTCTGCACCATTCCTAGCTGAGCCAAACGCCAGCTCCCCACCTCAAATACATGGTGTTGGTCTCAAAGACAGCAGGCAGAGTGACTGTCTGCCACCCCAATGTCACCACTGCTAGAACACGGAGTATATGGGCTCCTGGCAGCTGATCTATCCCATTACCTCAAGAAATTGTCCTTTTTGAGTTTTCAAGGTAAAACTTACACAATGAAATACACAAACCACATGTGTTGCCATTTGAGGAGTTTTGACAAATGCATATACACCTGAATAACCCAAATCCCGATCAAGACATTCTCATTAGCCCATAAAATCCTCCCATGCCTTTTCCCAGTTAATCCCCAACCTCTAGAGCTGTTATCCCAGAGATAACAGCTGTTCTGGGTTTTTTTTGACATAAATATATAGCTTATAAGATGCATATAAACAATCATACAGTATTCATTGTTTTGTGTTTTAATTCTTGCAGCATTATGTCCTTGAGGTTGGTCAATGTTGTGTTTAACAGTAGTTGATTTGTACTGCTCAGTAGTATTCCATGATTTGAATATATCAGTTTGTTTATCGATTCATCTGTTGATGGCCTCTTGGTATGTTCCCAAGTTTTTGGTTATTCTGAATAAAAATGCTATGAATCTTCTAATACAAATCATTTTGTGGACATAGGCTTTAAATTCTTTTAAGTCTTTAGAAGGCGAACTGATAAGCTACCGGGCAGGTGAATGAATGTTTGCTTTCATAAGAAATGGTCACCCCATCTTAAACTTTTACCAGAAATGTGTAAGAATTCTGTTTGTTCTACATCCTCATTAATGTTTCATACCATCATTATTCAGGAATCTCAGGATTTTAATTTGCCTTTTCTTAAGGTCTATTCAAGTTGAGCACTTTCATGTACTTGCCATTTATATATTTTTTTTTTCAAGTGTCAACTCAAATGTTTTGACGTTTTTAAAATTGGATTGTCCTTTTATTACTGTGTTATAGAAGTTCTTTATATATTCTAGATACCAGGTTGGGTTTTTTTGTTTTTTACCAGATATGTTTTCAAGTATTTTCTCCCAGCCCCCTGGCTTGCCTTTTCACTTTCTTAATAGTGTCTCTTGATGAGTAGAAGTGTTGAATTTTAATGAAGGCTCATGTACCAACCGTTCTGGGTCCTAAAAATTCTAAGCTAAACCCAAGTTGCAAGGATATCTTATGTTTTGCTCTGGAAGCTCTAGAATTTAGCTCAACACGTAAGTGTGTATGACCTATCTCAGATTTTTGTGTATAGTAGGAGGTAAGAATCAAAACTGGTAATTTTTCCATATGGTTATCTAGTTCTTCCAGCACTGACTGCTCCAGCGACTTTCCCTTCTCCATTGGTTGCTTTGGTCAAGAATTTGGCAGTGTTAAGTGAGGGTCTATATCTGGGTATTTATAAAGCTACAGTCATTTCTCTATCTACTTTTTATCCCTATGCCAATAACGCACCATGATGACTGTAGCTTTATAGTAAGTCCTAAGGTTAGTTAGGGCAAGACTTCCAACTTCCTTCTTTTTACAGATGATTTTGGATATTCTTTGTACAAACAAGGGGAAAAATAAGTTTCCCAATTTTTATTTAATTGCAAACATGGTGTATTACTCTCATTCCTTTTGGCAACGTTTTGTAGTTTTCAGCCTATACTGCTGGTTAGATTTATTCATAAGTGTAATGTGTTTTTTGATGGTTTTGTAATTATCTTTTTAATTTCGTTCTTAAGTTGTTTGCTTAGTATATAGAAATATGGTTTTTGTATACTGACCTTCCATCTCAAGACCTTGTTAAAGTCACTGATTAGTTCTAATAGTTGTTTCTTTACCTTAGGTTGTCTTTGCAAATAACCATGTTAGTTGGAATGGCTGCTGACTTAAGTCAGATGCTTTCCCTGCATCTAGTAAAATGATAATGAGCTTTTTCTCCTATGATTGATAGTACATTCCTAAGGTAAAACAAACTTGGTCATGATATATTATTCTATTTATTGTGAATATTAAGGATTTTTTTGCTTTAAGTGCAGGAGGGTTAGTGATCTGTAATTCTGTTTTCTTTTTTGGGGGGGTGGTGAGTAGGTAATCCTTTTATCAATTTTGAAATCAGGGCTCTGCTGGACTCCATAAGACCAAAAAAAAAAAAAAAAAGGTGGCGGGGGAGCTTTCCTTCTTCTGTTTTCTCAAAGATTTTGTGTAAGATTGGTAGGATCTCTTCCTTAAATGTGTTACAGTATTCACCAACCAGTACAATCATCTGGATTTGGAGTTTTCTTTCTGGGAAAATTTTTAAGATAATGGATTCAATTTCTTTGATATACAGCTATTATTAGGTCCTATATCATCTCGTTTTCAGTTTGAGTAGATGCGTCCATTTCACATCAAGTGCCGAGTTTACTGGCATAAAGATGTTCATCACATTTTCTTATTTTAATGGGTAACCCATCTTTTGTTTCTGATTTTGATAATTTGTGTTAAGTTTTACTTATCTTTACATCTCCTTGACTTTGTTCTTCTTTCCTAGCTTAAGGTGGAATTTTAGGTCACTAATAATCATCTTCAGGTCTTGTGTATTTACAAATTTCTTTGTAAGCACTGCATAAATTCTGTGTAAGTAAAGAATCTGACCTTGCCTAAAGATGGGTCTAGCTTTAATCCCTAGCTCCTGGGAGATAACCACAAAAATCTTGACATTTCCCAAGTGATCGGAGGGTCTTTCTTATTTACAGTGGGCCCTTTGGACCATACCTGAGAGTTTATGCTAATGAGATGGCTCATGGTGGACACACTGTCTGCTCATCAACTGGTTCCTCTAGGCTCAGGTTAACAACTTTTCAACATACTCCCTTAAATAGGGTGATTCTTTTATAACAGCCCTTGAATCAATTATCTCTTGGATTAGTAATAGGTAGTGCTTCTTTAGTAGACACTCAGGCAACATCAAGTTTAAAGACTCCTGTATTACTAATCCAAATGGTTAAAGTGATCAGTGATACATAACTCTATCACTTTCAGCTTGAAACGGCCAAATCTAATACTTGGAAGTCATCCACTAAGATTCTTATGTGTATTATTCTTAGGAATCATACTATTTTAAATGCAGATCAGATGAAACACCTATGGTAGTAGTAGTATTGCACTGCAACCTCTAAAGCAAATACTTGAAAACTGTTCAAAATTTAGGTGACAATTTATATATTACCTAAGGAGTAGTAACTCTGACAAGATTTATGGATTAAGATAGGAAATGCATACTTCAGCTCAGTCTTGAGAACTATATAAAATAACATGAGCCTTGAGTAAGAATGGGACAGAAAAAATTTATCTAAATTCAATGAAGATGTAAGACACTGAAATGCCAATTAAACAGTGGTAACATAAAAATAGAACAGAGCCAAAAGTGATGCCTTCAAATCTTGGTTACAGAGGATTTATTTTGTCTTTCATGAACAAACACCTAGTCCCTATCTAATTATTATTATGTTCACCTGTTGGGCACACAAGGATTCTTCTGTGACCTGCCAATTAAGACCTTTAAAGTTCTCATTTTATAAGAATTATCTTTTAGGATTACAGTTATTACAGAGGTAAGTAAATTTATAATGTTAGCTATAAAGTTTAAAAAATTAAATTGTATATCCCATTTAATTACCTTTGACAATAATTCCATGAGTTACTAATTTTAGTGCTTTTCAAAGTATGGTTAACTTTTTTTATGCTGAACAAGTTAGTATCGCTAATGGAAATTTCTTCAGCTACAGAGGTGAACTCAAAGAATTCTGATATTTATTTCTATGATGTTTATGGCATTTCCCTACTCACCTTTTTTAGATGGCTTTGGTGGTACAACTGGGCCAGGTTCTATGTTGTCATAAAAATTATTCATGGCTTTTGGATCAAAGTTTCCTATAAAGAAAATAAAATCACCATGCATTTAAGGCTCTTTCTCCTATTTGACTTTTTTGTTAAAGAATATACAAAAAAAATCTAAAAAGGGAAACTGCTTTCCAGGGTTTCAAAACTCCTATCTCCTTCCCACTGAAAATGTTTTTCTTGATCACTGTGAGAAAAGACGCAAGCAAACTACCACATCAGTGTTGGCCTATAAACTATCAACTTGAAGGAATATTTTTCTAACTGCAAAGCTAGTCTCTTTCAGCAGGATTATGTACGTGGCACACTTAGGGAGGTAAATGAGGAAGAGAAAGGATGGCTGAACTATTTCATGTCATTCATAATTTACCTTGAAAAGTTATCCATTATAAATTCAACAGTGGAAGAAGTCAAACATACAAAGATGAATCCAGTTATAAGAGCAGCAGCTCACAGATTCCTATCTTCAAGAACTGGAGAATACTGAATGTTGTCTACAGATTTAACAAAGATGGTAAGGTGCCAATTTCAGAATGATAAATACAATGATCCCTGAGAATTTTGTCTTGCCACAAAATTTTCAACTCTCTTAAACAGTTCACTCCTTGGCCTCGTGTCGATTCCAGTCCCAATTCCTGCCATGACTCCTCCAAGGTGGGTTCTGAGACAGTGGCAACCTTAGGTCCTACCTTCACTTCTGTGAACCTATCACTGTAATCGGCTTGTTCTGCACAATTCCAATTAAGCATTGTAACTACGTATGCTATCAGGTACTACTAGTTCAAATATATTAGATGTCTTGATTTCTAGACATTATTTCTCCCCCCACAAAGTTTTCCTCACTGAAACCAACAATAAACCTGCTTTTCAGCAAACCAAATAATGATCTGCATCTAGATCCATTCTCTCACTTCAAAGTTTACATTGGAATTCAGTATAAAATTTTTCCAGAGTGTGGAAGAGTAGAATTCGGTATAAAATGGACATATATGGACCCCTTATGAAAGGGGATTTAGAAATACTTAGGCACCAAAAAAAGCTCTTTGTTGCCCAATGGAGACCAAAAACACAGCTCTTTGCATATAAAACTTTAATAGTGGTTTCCCTTGCAGGTCCTATTACAAATGCTTTTATCCATTTGGAAGATAATGAAAGCCACAGTGCTGTAAGATGTTGCATATGTATTTCTTCAATTACTTAAGTTACAGCTGATGTTTTAATTTCTAGATCTCATAAGGCTTACTATAAATACCCTAACCAAATGTTTGTGTGTTTTGCTTTAAAAAACACCCAAGCAAAAACTGATGCAGTCTTCCAATACACTAACAATAATCTATATCACCCCTCCATGATGCAGAGCTCCACTGCTTCAAGCTACGAGTCTCTACAGGGACCACCTTCTGAACTGGCCGGACTGCTCAACTTTCACATTCAAATTCGCTTCTATTTAGATTGGTGGGCATCTTTTAGGTTCCCCTGCTTCTGTTAAAGTTAGCTCATTGCCATTTTTAGTCAAGATTTATTATATACTCTCAAAATAGAGTAGAAGCTCTCTTAGCTGCCATAATTGAAAACAGTAAGTGGTGGTAATAGGAGAGGCTGAATGAAACAGACCTTTTGAGAAAAATTACTTGTCAACTTCAGTGTTGGACCAAGACTTTTTTTTTTTTTTTAACATGTGTCCAATGAAGTTCTATACTGTCTTTCTTACATAAACTACACCTGTGATGAGCTACAGGGGGAGTGGGCAAACTTTTTCTTATGAAATCAACAAGTTTACGCTTTGTGGACCCGTAATAGTCTGTTGCAAGCCCTCAACGGTGCTGGTGAAGCAAAAAAGCAGCCCCAGACAATATGTGAACAAATGGGCATGACTATATTTGACTAAAACTACAAAAAGAGCCAGCAGGCTAGTTCACTGAACCCTAAGTTCTACAACTTTATTTTGAATAAAAGAACAGAATCCTCTTAGATTTTTGTGATTTATCCCCTTAACCCTTTCCAGTTTTCACCCGTATCTAATTCACAGACCACCCCCCCAACCACACCTTTTTGGGGTTTTTTTTTTGTTTTTAAGTAATTTGCCTTTGGTTTTTTTTATGGGAAGAACAGCTCCTCCTGCATTCTTGTCAGCCTAATAAACATTACAGAAATAGAGTAACTGGCATATACAGGTTAGGGAACAGGTACAACTAACTCTCACTGAGCGGACAATTCAATTGCTAGGAGCAATAGTACTTGAACATGCCAGTATGTGGCCCCCTAGTCAGCAGTGTGCAGCAGCTGTGGACAGGGTCAGAGTATTTTACAGGGCAAATGAAGAACAGCTCTAACCTGGTGAGCTGGGTAAATGAAAGTTAAGAGAGCTTCTACTGTAGTACAATTCTATAAGAACGTTAAAAACAAAACAAAACCAAAAAAAGCCAAACCAAAAAACCCATTCTCCAAAAAGTGAGATATACGTGGATGTTTTCATGATATATAAAAATGGCATATAGAATTTTAAAAGTGATAAATCTGATATTCTGATACGTGATTCCCTATTTTTACAGCTACTTTTGATGATTATCACATCTAGTAAGTTTTATAATTAAGACCCATCAATACAAAATCTTCACAGTAAATGACCAGAACAAGGTAAATGCAGAGTAACAACATAGAGCAGTCTAAACGACAAAAACTTAATGATGGAATTGCCAAAGTAAAACTATTTTTGATCCCCCAAATCTATGACCATGGGGTGGAGGGATCTCTTGAATAGGATCATAATGGATAAAAACTCTCTCTTAAATCTGTAAAACCAAAAATGATTGCTATTTAAGCAGCTTAAAACACCACACTATTACTTATGGTTTACCAAATAATCAAGTCTATACCTCTAGATTGAAGGAGGTCAACTTCTTTCAGTGTACAGTCAACATTTATCTGGAGTTGTCTGTTCATGCTTCTCAATCTTGTCATTTCCTCAGGCTAGTAAGAAAGGACCCAAAATAGCAATTGTGGGAAAGTCATTATCAAGCCCAACATTTAAGAACTGCTATTCATGTTAATAGTTCTGATTGGTTATTACCAACAATATGGCCTTAGTCTATAAGAGGGCATGTATAAGAAGTCCTAAACGTTTAAAGGAACAGTCAGGTAAAATGGGGACATCAGTATGGCCACATAAACACAAAATCTGCATAAAACGTGGCAAGCTACAGTACTAGACTATGTCTTATCATACAAAATACCATTTTAATCACAGAGCACTAAAAATATTTTACTTCTATGTTTTCATGGTAAGGGAATCTATGAGAATCAATCTGTAAAACAAGCAATGTCCGTGATTTTAGTGTTGTCCAGCCTTGAAAAAATAATACTAAGTGTCAGGCACTGTGTTTACCAGAGGTCTCATTCTTTCCTCAAAACATCTTTCAAGGCAAGTAGTAGTAATATCGCTAATTTATACATGAGGAAGCTGATTCACCCGGACTGCATGTAATCTTCCCAAGATTATAAAACATAGTGATTGGTAGAACCAGGATTTAGATCAAAGGAAGCACTCTATTACATGAAAATTTCACAAACAAATGGATCCCATTCTTCCTCCAACTTTGTTTCCTTGTTCCTTGATTTCAAGCCCAGTCTACCTATCCTTAGGCGTTTTAGAGGCATACATGAGACACTGAAATGTACAGAATGCCCTATTCTTCAGTTAAAGTTTTTTGGAAGGCTTTACATCCCCTGACCTTCTAGATTTCTTTACTATTATACACACACACACACACACACACACACAGTAACAAAATTAAGAGTTTGAATTCCAGAGGCATGGATACTGAAGCTTTCAGCACAGCCCAGATATTAACTCAGTTACTGATGTGCTTTCAACTATATGAAGTAAAAGATAAATATGTGCTATGACAGAACAAAATCCTCTTCTATTAAAAACCTGTCTTTTTCTACAAACTATGTTAATACAAGAGCAAAGAAAAAGGAGCAAAAAGGTTCTTAATTCACAATAATGCAAGCTCTTATGCTTTTAGGACACGTTATCAGAATAACTGGGACTGCCCCTTATATTAGCAAGCATGAAACATTTAAAATAAGTGATGATGTAATGTATGGTGATTACCGTAACATAAAATAAGTGATAGAATACAGTAAGAACTACAGTCCCTTAGAATACTACAGGAACACAAAAGTCATTCAGAAATATTTATTAGGGATTACTTTCCTTTTTTCCTATCTGAAAAAATTATGGGACGTTACCATGTAAAATGCTTACACCTTGTTTACCAGGCAATATTAAAAGGGCTTAAAATATACCTCAGCATTTATACTAAAAATAAAGCACTTGTCCAGGGGTTTCAAAGATACTGTCTTCCTAGGAATATGTAAAAGAACCCATTCTCCGTAGAATCATAATGGGAAAATTAAGTACCTAAAGGAGTTGATTCTTCCTATGTATTGGGGCGGGGGGTGTTTTAGTCACAGTGGTCCTAAATAGTGAAGCTCTAGAAGTATGGAAGGACTGTAATACACTTTACAGTCTAGAGGCTACAGCACATTTGCTTATAACCAGAGATCTAGTCAACAAGATCATTTCCAAAGACAGGAGAACCAGCGGAATTTACTAAAAGAATAGTTTATCTGTAAGATTCTTATGTCCTTTTTCATAGTTTCTGACTAAACCAAGGTAAAAAAAAAAAATTCGGAAAAGTCAGTACCATTTGCCAAAAAGTACACTGCCTTTTCAGGGAAGAGGGGTTTCAAGAGGGAAGAGGGGTTTCAAGATCGGCTGTGTGTAATTTAGAGCTGTTTGTAAAAGATCTGACATTTCAAAGTGAAAAATTCTAAGCTTTTTTCAAAAGGTGGCAAAACTACCTTAAGTCAACTGAGCACTTTAAGAAGTTGTATCACAGAGACCCAGTTCGAAGACCACTGTTGTTGTTCAGTGGCTTGGCCCTAATTATGCATCTGAGACTAACGTGGGTTATTCCAAAAACCCACTTAGAACAAGACAAATGACAGGAAAAACTTGACTGAGGGGGTAACGGGCATCTCTCAGCTTAATCCAACCTTATTTATCTTTCAAGGTTTAACTTAAATGTCCCCCTCTGCCATGAAACTGTCTCATCTTTGAACCCTATCGGCAAAAAAGCTAACATTTCTATCTCAAAACTCTGAAAGTACTTAACATCCTTACCATTTAACTGGCCAACACTTCTGATTTAATGTCAATTTACATGAACTTTTCTCTCTCTCTCTCTCACAAATACATACAGGTTCACAGACACACATCTATCCTTTCACATACAGATCTCTTTATGTGACGACCTCTTCGACAGCACTTAACACAGGGCTTTGGGAACAGCAGATTACGGCCATCTTGCACTTCTGCCCTCCTTAGATTATTTCACTGGTGCTCTAAGCTTCTACAGCTGGTAACTAATGTGCATTTCAGTCTCATGAGGCACACACATTTTTTTAATACACTGCTTGGTAAGAAATGTGAGAACTTGAAGGTAGAAATATGTGCTTAATAGCAAAAAACAGTCCATTCTCTATCATGTAATCCTACATGCGAGTGGGACAAAGATAAAGACAGCCATTTTACTGAGCACCTAACTCCATGCCAGGCACTTTACATATATTGTTTTTATCTTGACAACAATATTAAAATATACTTATTAGAATTCCCATTTATAGACAGGGAAAATCAAATGCAGATAAGTTAGATACAGCCAGTGACTGCCAGAACTATTCTGCCTCCAGAGGCTATGTGGGCACTTTTTTTTTTTTTTTTTTTTAAGATTTATTTATTTTAGAGGCAGCAAGTGGGAGAGCTTGGGGGAGAGGGACAGAGGGAGAGGAAGAGCGAGAATCTCCAGCAGACTCCTCGCTGAGCATGGAGTCTGATGTGGGGCTCGATCCCATGACCCTGAGATCATGACATGAGCAAAAATGAAGAGTTGGCTGCTTAAATGACTGAGCCACCCAGGCGCCCCTTATGTGAGCATTCTTTACAACTATGTCATGGCACCTCGAATGAGCCTCTATCAACAAAAGGGAATTCTGACAAAATGCTTTACTTCTGGATTAATTTCCTACATTATATACCTTATATGTTATGCATACACCTAAGACTAAATCTAAATTTTGCAAAAACAGTTCGTGGGTGTGTGGGTGTGTGTGTATCTCAAGCAGGTTTTTCCAGTGTTGTCCAACCAACATTAGTAAGAATACTATTTATTGGGGACCGCATAAATTATGGATAGTATCTTATTTAATCCCATGAGATAGGTACTCACAGATACTATAGGTAAAAAACAAGCAAAGAAAGTTACTTCTCCAAGGATATATGAGTGACAGGTAAGTAGCAGGAGGATTCAAATTCACATCTGAATAGAGGCCCTGTCTGAACCTCCACGTAGAACTGTCTGTCCCTCAGCCATGCATTGCTAATAGTCCTTCATTTTACTCTAGGCCTGGCAGCAGAAACACAAGGGAATCAAACAAATTTCTTATCTCTCAAATATTGTCACCCATATGGGCTACCAATTTCTGAAGCTGGGTGATGGCTACACAGGGGGTGCACCCCACTCTTCTTTCTTTTTTTAAGTAATGCATCAATAAAAGTGCTCATCTAAAATCTGGATTTTTTTTTGAAGCACTAACCTGTTACCTTTGACAGTTCTCTACTTTCTAACACAACAAAAAAAATCAACAGGGCTCATTTTAGCAGGAATTACCACACGGCAAGAGGTTACTAAACAAAACTTATTTGGTTAAGTTAGGGTAAATGACTTTTATGCTAAGAAAATCTGTTTATGCTCCATAAGTACCTAAAAGATTCTAAAGTGCCCAACCACCAGGGTAGATTCCTATGTGGGTTATGTTCTTCAATACCTCCCCCAATCAGAGAATTCAATTAAGATTTCAAGTGGAGAAAACAATGAGAAACTTATTACCACCTTTCAGTTAAAGATAGCTTTGTAATTTTCTAAGTGTTTTAAGTAAAACCCTCCCTCCATTCTTACTTCTAATACTGACTATATTTAGGAATTTCGTCATTAGAAAAAATTTCATTAGGTTACTAAATATGCCTGTTTATCAATAATTTCCTTCTGAAAAACTCCACTGGTTCCCCATTACCAGCAGAATGACGTTCAAACACCTCACCCTCAAGGTCTAAACCCCAATCGGCAGATGGCACACTAACCTGTTAAGACATCAGAAATCTCAGCTTAAGTGTAAGACCTGTATTTGCTGCCTCCTGAGAGTCTGTCTCTGTCTTAACTTCACACCTTCATTATCTCCATGTTCTTTTCCCTCCTTTTCTCCCTTCTTTTCCCTTCTAAAATGCCCTCCCCTTTCCTCTATGCCTATACAGCAACACTATGCTGTTTAGAGCAGCGGGTCCTCACCCTTTTCCCCTTCACTCTATTAACCTTATGAAAGTCAGATGAAAACTGTAGACATGCGTCCATACTGCACATAATTTCAGAAGTTCACAGTTTGCCTTTGAAGCCATGACCCTCCATTAAAAACTTATCTATGAAGGCGGAGCTGCAGACATGCTGTCTGCAAGAGGCATGACATACATGCTCACTTCTCCAAACCTGTAAATGCTGAGAAATTACCCTCCGTTGAGAGAGGTCAGGAAAATAAGGAATGGCTCCAAAGACAAAGTAAAGGGTGAGGTGAAGCCCTGAAGAATACACACGACTTACCCATGAAGAGCTTCAGGAGGGCATTCCAGCAGAAGAAATGCATTGAGTACACAGACAGACTAGTTGATGTACGAGTTCTCTCATTACCTGTGAGCATTACCAGCGCTTACCACACTGAATTCTAATTATCTGTCCATGGGTCAATTTCTCTCGCTAGCAGGTATGCACTAAGCACCCAGCGCAGGACCACATTCATAATAAACTCAACAAGGACTGCTGCACCAATAAATGTCAAAAGGTGAAGTGATAGGTCGGATCACAGAAAGCTTGTATTGTCACGAGATTTTAGGAGAATGGTTTCAAAACGTTCTGAAGAGTTTAACATTTTTTAGAACTCAAATAGTACTTAGTATGTTAAGAATATATTATCCAAATCTTTTCGTTAGGGCAGTTTCGATGAGGACCACTGTCAATACTGTTACCTTCGTTCCTACAATTATTTATACTTAACAAAATTGCTCTGCCTTAAAATGCTCTATAGGGCACACTTGCCCAGATTCATACCGATATCATTCTAACTCCTCTGAATCAACGTACTTAAGAAAATAACTTTTAAATCTTTGGAATTTATAAGTACATTATATGCTTAAAAGAAAAAATGAACACATGAGAAAAAAATATAAAATGCTCAGGCAGGGTGCACTTTTCTATTTTGAGAGAAAGCAATTCACAGTAAATGAGATGCCATACCTTCGTTATAACTGTCAGTTATTTGACAATACTGATGAACCTATGGAATTCACACATGTGAGAAGACATAAAAGCATCGAATTATGGTGATGAGAACAACCGAAGGTGAAAGTCTCTCATCCATTGTGGAAAAAAACGAAAAGACCCTGCCAGGAACAGAACCTAAAAGAAAAACACATGCCCTGGACAGCCATCCTCCCCAGCTTCCTGTCCACGCAGGCCAACAGAGGACTTACCGTGGGGACCGCAGTGGTGCAGCTGACCCTTCTGAGCCGTCTCTGCATCAGGTCATGCTCCATACTGTTAACTTCAGCCTTCAACCGCTCTAGCTCCTCTTTCTCAAGTTTCAACTGCTTGGCTAACCTCTCCATCCTTGCTCGCTGATGTAACAGCAAAGCTATAGTGTTACAGAGAGAGTCATTGCAGAGGGTAACATTGAACAAGTGACTGGGAAACTTCTATATGCACTGCTAACGCATAAAATACTCAAAAGAAACCCTGTCCTCCATTTTGAGTTGGCATTTACTCTTGTATCTTGCTAATGCTATTTTGCTTTAATTTGGCTCTTGTAACTGCTGCCAAAATGACGTCACCTGTACGTCCCTCTTGCTCTGCTGGCCTTTGTTTCCCTAAGATTGTCTTTTTAACTGTACCTGTGTAGGTTTTAAACAGGTTTAATACCAGGCATGTCGAACTACAGTCATAATTACTACTCTTATATAATGAAAGAATATGAAATTCTCAGATACCTTGAAATCTGAATAGACTTTTAAAAAACTCTGTCCTTTTGGGCGCCTGGGTGGCTCAGTTGGTTAAGCGACTGCCTTCGGCTCAGGTCATGATCCTGGAGTCCCTGGATCAAGTCCCGCATCGGGCTCCCTGCTGAGCAGGGAGTCTGCTTCTCCCTCTGACCCTCCCCCGTCTCATGTGCTCTCTCTCTCTCTCATTCTCTCTCTCTCAAATAAATAAATAAAATCTTTAAAAAAAAATTTCTGTCCTTTTAGTTAGGTCCACTATTAACTAATCCACCATTAGTCTTCATCACCAATCCCACTTATAAATATACATCACTTAAAAATATGTATCACTTATAAACATTACACCCTCCAGGCCAATCTCGTTAGAAATAAGATTCAAATTCCTTAACCGTGATAAACTTTAGCCCACCCACTATGAATCTCCTTCCCCACTCTGTGGTCTGCTTTTTGACAGTATCAATTTCACCTGTCTATGCTTTTGTCCCAATGAGTGTTATTCCTAAAAACAGCCTTCTTAGGTCACTATTATCATGCCTGTATTTTCATATTTTAAAACAAAGTCTGTAGAGAACTCTGAAGCACTGACCCTATTTTTTTCTAACCCTATTCTTGGTAGCGATGCTATTGCCCAATATTTAATAAATACTAACCATTTAATTAAAACTAAACAGCTAATATAAATTTATTTTGAAAAAGCCACCTCAGCACAAAGATTAAATTTCATAAAAGGGCGAAAATTACCTTGCGTATAGGCATAGTCATCTGATCCAGAACTAGAACTCCTCTGGTATTTATGGCTTCCCTTTTCTCCCCCAGAGCCTGGTACCACTGAAATGGGCTGAATAGGTTCTGGCGCAGCAGAACGTTCTTCTTGGTCCACTAAATTTAAAAGATTTTCAGTCATTGCTCGACCTACAGTAATTTTAAAAACTGTTGTTGGGTTTGGTATCACTCGAGGAGATGGTGATAGAGCACATGAAGGTCCGGTTGGCTGTGTGTATGTAATGTACACAGGATTAACACTAAATGGAGGTTTTGGTTGACTGGATATCCCTCTCGAAGGAGAACTTGAAGGTGGTGTGGTGGCTGTGTACAGTGAGTGCTGATTCCGTGGAGACGGCTGATTACTGATAGGTGAAGGGCTCCTGTTCATTGCTGTCCCAGGTCTTTGAGAGGGTTCAACTGTAATTTCTATCTTCTTCATGGATCCTTTGGGTAAGCTAGATGTTGTGTATGGGAGATAAGATACTGAATGGCTTCCCTGTTTCTGATAGCTAGGAGGTCCTTGTTGATATGGATGGGGTGGAGTAGTTGAAGGACTAGGTGGCATAAAGACGTGGGAACTTGGGTGGCCCAGCTGGGAAGGTTGCACTTGATGCTGTGGAGAGCTGAAGGGTGAAGGACATTGAGAAGGAGGTGGTGAATGGTAAGCAGGTTGAGGAATCTGCTGCTGTTTGGGAGAATACTGAGAAGGCTGATAGTTCTGTTGATGTGGATAAACAGGTAAAGGACGTTGGCTATAATGAGGCACTGGGCCCTGTGGTGAGGACTGCCATGGTGTAGTCTGAGGAGTTTGTCTTCCCGATGAACTCTGAGATGTCTGTCTAATATAAATAGAACCAGGAGACCCATAGAGATTGCTTGGAATTTGTGGAAGAATTTGTAAAGCTCTTGGTACAGTCTGTCCAGAAGGGAGGTTCTGGGATACTGTAACAGTAATCGGATTTGTACTATACCGAGGTATGTGCATGTATGAAGGAGGTGGCGGTGGCGAAGGCCCTTGCATAGCAGACGGATTCATTCCTGTTGGCATGGAAGATGGTTGCTGAGGTGGCTGTGAAGGAGGAGTGGCTGCACTTCTGTTCTGTTCATTCATAAAAAATGGATTGTAGTTTGGAGTAGCAGCCACAACAGCTGGAGCGGAGTGTGGTTCCTGAACTAAACATATCAGCTGTTTACTTGCTGCATGCTGTGGATCAATATGTCCATCACTTGAGCTATGTACCAGTGTTCGACCCCCATTAAGTTGTGCTCCATCTCCTGGGTGGTAGCTACTAGGAGAATGGATACCCAGATTAATATGCAAAAGGCGATTTCTATTCATCCTGTTGTCATCTGGACTATGGTATTCCATATATAAGTATTTGCTACTCTCCTGGGAAAGGGCTCGGCAACAGGCTTCAAGATTGTTGTTGTTCTAGGGGAGAAAAATGGTAAAATTAATACTGACAAAATGAACAAATCTTAATTGAAGTCAAGCTTTGCAGGTTATGCAAAGACAACTGTCATAAAATAAGTAGAGAACAGCATCTTAAGCACGAACAGCTTCATAGTCACCTACCCTGACAAGGAGATCCCTAACAATTCATATTGTTTCACAAACATTTAGTTCCTATGACTGGTACTCCTGCTACTGCTACACAAATGGAAAGCACCCACTAATGAACAGTGTGACTCAACTCCAAGTCTTCTGAGTCCAAATCCAGGACTCATTTTAGGTCTGATGCATCTCAACAAATTAACATGTTGGGCCAATCTTGGATTCACCACAATGCTCTAACATATAAGTTAAAGCAATATTCATCATTAATATTTAATCTGAAAAACATGGGGGCGCCTGGGTGGCTCAGTCGGTTAAGTGGCTGCCTTTGGCTCAGGTCACGATCCCAGGGTCCTGCTTGGGCTCCCTGCTCGGCGGGAAGCCTGCTTCTCCCTCTCCCACTTCCCCTACTTGTGTTCCTGCTCTCACTCTCTCTCTCTCTGTCAAATACATAAATAAAATTTTTAAAATAAATACATTAATAAACAAACTGAAAAACATGAAAATAACCATGCTTTAGTTTTCGAAAGGCACTGAAACCACAAAAGGAGAAAAATTATAATAAAATTCCTAGAGTCAAAACAATAAAAATTCTAAAGCAGCCTTTTAACCAAATTTATCCCTATATAATTTCAACTATCATTAGGAGAGATTAAGCTAAACAAAGAAATCAGTAAAAACAAGCACACTTTTTGAACTATGGTTCCACAACTTGGCCAAAGTTAAGGCTATTTAACAGAAAACCAGGTCTTGACTGCCTTAATGAAATTCACTCACACTCCCAGTCTCAACATTTTTTACCCACTGAAAAGTAGCTTGGTCAACTTTCAAATCATTGTAGGATTTGAATTTTTTGAGTCACTACACCTACACTCAAAGATGGTAATACCAGAGTGACATTTTAGATACTCCAACAATAATCAACTAATGAAGGAGGTTCCTTTTTTTAATTTAAAAATTATAAGGTAGTTTTCCATTAAAATACAAAATTCTGAACTATTAGCCTAAAGCACTATTATCCATTGCCCTTGGAAAAAAATTTCTCAATTTCTGTGACTTTCTCTGTAGTTCATAAATACACAGATAAGCACATACATACCTACTATTGCATACTGATTTTAGGAAAAAGCACATTTTATATAAAAATGAAAGGAAACACTTTTACTTCTGCTGAGAAGCAAATAAGGTTAAACCTAAAACAGAACATACAATGCTGTAATTTTAGAGCTGGAAGAACTTTTAGGGTTCATCTATTCCAACTCAACTCATTTACAGATGAGGAAAGAGATGCCCAAAGAGTTACATGGCTTGAGAACAAGCACTTAACTAGTTAACAGAGGAGAGCCAGTTCTAGATTCTCCGTTTCCTACTCCCACTGCTGTTTCGACTATAACACAGTAATTTCACGGGAGAGGATGTTAGGCCAAAAGTAAATTACTATACTAAAGCTTTAAGAAGTAAACAAAGATTCAGTTAAGCAAACCTTTGCAAAATGAATTCTCAGAAATTTAAAGAATTAGCTTCATCAAAACTCCATACATAACCTGTATCTGTTGCCTTATATAAAGCTTTGATACTAAAATTCTGAGCCATAGAGAAAAGTAATTGCTGAAATTTAAGAAGAAAATTGTTAAAACTCAAAGTTTGGCCTTTTTAAAAGTCCTACTTAAAAATCACTGTGATCAAGGAAGAGAAGCTAGGTATTAAGCAAATTTGGATCCAAAGGATTTAAACTGATTGCCTACTAGAAAATGACAGACAGATATCTGAAAGAGAAGAATATGTATGAGAAGTGAAAATAAAGTATCTCTGAAATTGGACTGAAAGGAGAACAAAAATCAGCCCGTTTTATATGAAATCTAAAGCAGTCGTGGATACTTCACTATTTGACATTTGTATCAACGCTGCTGAAATTTCATGTTTTCTACAGTGAATCAGGGAGCCTGAACAATATCCTCACATGAAGACCCAAATTCACAATGATACAAAGTTGGTTTGTCAGCCTATTCAAATGCATGTCTATAGTAACAAGGTAAGTAAATTTTCACATGAAGAAAAAATTTAAACCAGCAATACAAAGTATTTAAGTATTATTTTTATGAAATCATTTTTAAAAGAATACCACCAAAATAGATTCAAATGTTAATCTTTAACCTGCAGACTGCCTTCAAAAGAAAAAAAATGGATACAAAATTTTCCAAATAGTAAATATAAATAAAGAAATCAAAATCAGCTAGTTGGATAAAGAGGTCAGAATTCTTCTCTTTCAGGCGCCTGAGTGGCTCAGTTGGTTAAGCGACTACCTTTGGCTCAGGTCATGATCCTGGAGTCACGGGATCGAGTCCCACATTGGGCTCCCTGCTCAGTGGGGAGTCTGCTTCTCCCTCTGACCCTCCCCCCTCCCACGTGCTTTCTCTCTCTCTCTCATTCTCGCTCTCTCAAATAAAATCTTAAAAAAAAAATTCTTTTCTCTTTCTCTTTTTTTTAAGTAGACTCCATGTCCAATGTGGGGCTTGAACTCATGACCCTGAGATCAAGAGTTGGATGTTCTACCGACTGAGCCAGCCAGGTGCCCCAAGAGGTGAGAATTAAACAAACAAACAAACAAAAACCATATATAAACTCTTGAAAAGATCAAGGCAAAAAAAAAAAATCATACTCCTAAAAAGTGACCCTAAATTGAGAGATGACAGCTCCAGAGAGAGAGGCTTTAAGACTGTATATTAAATGTAAACTACTGAGTCTTTAAATGCAAACAGAAAAACTTTTCAGAGCCACTCAGTGGTAGTAAGTCTCCATACCAATAAATTCTATTAATCCCAAAGGAACAAAGAAGAGAAAGACTTGGGTCAATGTAAATTAGCAACAAATGTTCATTAAGCTCAATTTAAAGTTCATTCCTTCAGTTTAGTGTGATAAACACTAAGCCATGAAAAAATACAGGTGATAAAGGGATAAATTAAATTTGGAAAAAACAAAGCCAGAGTTGGGGGATAGGTGGTAAGGATAGGTAAGGAAGGTGACTGCTAGGAAATGGTTTTAGCTAAAAGCCTCACTCATGCTTGGTTTTACTCCAGTGGGAAGCACCTTTGCTCTACCAGAGACCAAAATGCAGCTGAAGTAAAGAACGGAAATTCAGACTGGGAATGTGTGTTTGAAAAAACAAAAAGCAAGCTATAATACAAAAACTGTAAGCCCGAAGGTCTAGACCTAGTAGAAGGGCTAGGAAGCACCTCTTTCACCACAATTGTTCTGTTCTATTTGTAATTAACCTCCACTGTATATAGGCTTAGGTGATAACCTGAGCCGCTCACACTGCAGTAAGATAGAATTTGAACTGACTGTAGTGTGAGGAAGTCCAGTGGGCAAGACAAAGGTGCTGTACCCAAAAGCGAACCAAAGAGGGAAATGCTGTAACCCAAAACACACTGAGATCCTGTGGAGGATGATGCAAAATTCAACAAGGGAAGCATTAGGCCGGTTTCTCTCTTGTCCCTTGAATGGGAAAACACATTCTACCCAATGTTAAAGATACATTTCACTACAAGACAACCAAACCAAAGGAATATGATTAAACTAGAGAAAGTGCCCTTATACTTAAAATTACCTATTAGTAAGCATTTATCAACTAGAAAAACAGTAAGAAAGGGACTGGACTCTTTATAGACTTTAAAAAATAGGCTTGGGGCGCCTGGGTGGCTCAGTCATTAAGCGTCTGCCTTCGGCTCAAGTCATGATCCCAGGGTCCTGGGATCGAGCCCTACATCAGGCTCCCTGCTCAGCGGGAAGCCTGCTTCTCCCTCTCCCATTCCCCCTGCTTGTGTTCCCTCTCTCGCTGTCTGTCAAATAAATAAATAAAATATTAAAAATAAATAAAAATAAAAAATAGGCTCAAAAGTATATAGCCTAAAAAGTTATAATGATAAATCTGAGACTCAAAATTCAAATCTAAGGATTTGGGGACTAATCAAACAACTCTAAAAATGTAAAAAGTGAAATACGAACATAATCAGTTTTCGTTTTGCTACATGCCTTTTTTTTCCCCCCAAATCAGTGGTTCTCAATGGGGTAGGTTTTGCCTCCTGTAAGATATTTAGCAATGTGTGGAGACATTTTTGGTTGTCACAACTGCAAGAGTGCTATTGGCATCTAGTGGTAGAGACCAGGAATGCTGCTAAACAGCCTACAATGTACAAGGCAGGACCCCACAACAAAGATTACCCAGCCCAAGATGTCAATAGCACCATGGTTGTGAAATCCTGCTCTAAGTATCTCCTACTGCCCTCCACATAGACAAAAAAACTTAAGGAGAACTGTAGCTTAATATCACTATCATTGCTGGGTAATCTACCTGTAACATGCACTGAGACACAACACCCTCTGGAATCTCCGGGAAACGTTGTCGGAGGTCATGGAGAACCTGCATATCAAGCTGTGGAGTACTCTGCGCCATGCCAGAACAAATGGTGGTCAAGTATCTGTTAGGAAATTGATGCTAACCGGCCTTCCAATAGTAATGGTCTTCCAACACCGCATTCATTTTCTATTAAAAGAAATCAAAGTTAATCACTATGTTTGTACACCTAAAACTCATGTAACATTGTGTGTCAACAATAATTCAATAAGGTACGGTTGAATTTACTTACATATTTCACTTTATTCAAATAGAAATGATCACTATGTTAAAATGGAGAGTTGTAAAATTGACAGATTCAACTTAGCCAGACTTTTCTGATATAATATAGCCAATCCCTGGTTTAGAAACAAAAAAAGCCAAAAAACATCTGAAAACCTGTTTCATTTTAATGGCTTAAAAAATAAAGCAGCAGCTAGATTAAAACTACAGAGTATTACTATTTGGCAACAATATTTTGTTAGCCTTGAGAAATGCTACTTATGTATAATCACTCATATTTTCCCAAGGTCTATCACATCACTCCCCTAAAGCACAGTGATCATTTTGATGTCCAAAATAATAAGAAAACAAGGACTTGATGATAACACCACAAAGCATTACCTGTCCTGTCTTACATCCTACTTGTACTCTGAGGCTCAAAGATTTGAATTTGAAGTATGAGTAAAGGAAACCCAAAGTCTAAAGGAAATAACTTAGCGAACAAAAATGGAAACTTAGAATCCTTTGTTTTTAACCATGATGCTTTGCTGGAGGTGAGGTGGGGGATGAGCTAAATGAGAAATGGGAATTAAGGATGGCACTTGTGATGAGCACTGGATGTTGTATAAAAGTGATGGATAACTAAATTCTACTCCTGAAACCAATACTACACTATATGTGAACTAACTTGAATGTAAACAAAATCTTGGAAGAAAAAGAAATTCATTAATTAACAAGATCATGCTGCTGACCCATCATTAGCCAGACCTACATAGCTAGGCTTTCACTTATTTCTGATGCCACTGACAGAGGTGCTAAGATGACAGGATTTAAGGGTACAGTTTGAGTGCAGAAAATTAACATCCAATCTCACCGGCACTACTCAAGTTGAGCACCCACATATAAATAAGGCAACTAGTGAAATAATGAATTCATAAATTCACTGGCAGCACCAAGGGTCAATGAACTGATACGTGTTTTAATACAGCTGACCTTTGAATGACATAGGGGTTATGGGCACCAATCCCAGTGCAGTCGAAAATCCGTATTTAAGTTCTGACTCCCCCAAAACTCAACTAACAGCATACTGTTGACCTCACTGATAACAAACAGTCGATTAATACGTATTTTGTATGTTAAATGATATATTATATACTGTACTCTTACAATAGAGTAAACTAGAGAAAAAATATTACAAAAATCATAAGAAAAAACATTTATAGCACTGTACTGTATTTATTTTTAAAAATCTGCATATAAGTGGACCCATACAGTTCCAACCTATGTTGTTCAAGGGTTCAACTGCACATATTTCCCATTTTTTTAAAGGGGAAAAACGTAGTGTATACCATACAATCTCATAATTTCTGCTGTGTTCACTCACTAGATGGTCAAATATTTTTAAGTATGTGAAGTAAACACCTGCATCATCTTAAGAGGCATGGAAACCATGATTGTAAGCTACATGGTCTAAACCACACACATAAGGAAGGGTCATTCCACACCAAATTTTCTTTACCTTGCAAATAAGTCCTGAAACTTTAAATCATGTTATTACTTGGGGGCAATGTAGAGAACTACAATCAATATTTCAAAAATAAAAAATGTTCGGATGGGTGTAAGAAGGCAGCATAGGAAGACCCTGAACTCACGTCCTCCCATGGACACACAACATTTACACCTATATATACATCAATTCCTCCCGAAGAACAAAGGGCTGACAGGACACCTTCCGCACAATACAAGGCTAGAGGGACCTCAATCAGAACGGCAAGAGAAAGAGATGCATGGTAACAAGGGCAACCCCCCGCCCTTGATGCCACAAACTGCAACAGTGGAAGGTATCACTGCCCAGCACACCGAAAAAAAGCTGCAGTTTAAAGGGTAACTAGACTATAAGTGAAGGAAAACCATTTATTGACCCCAGAACATCCACCCCAGTGGGGTAACGACTGGAAGTCTCCCTGGGGTCAGAGGTGCTGCTGAGTGCCACTGGTGACCTGCCCACTCCCACCGTGACAGTCCATGCAGGAGCAGGGACCAGATGTTCTAGACAGCCTGTCTCTTCGGCTAGTGCTGGACCCCAAGCACACACCAGGCCCAGCCACCTAAGCAGGGGAGCCCCAGTGAGGCGCACACCAGGGCACACCTCACCTATATCCAATACGGCTCCAGTAATCTCACCAGGGGGGCACAGTGCAAAGCCCCTTGAGACACCTCCATCCACACCAGGTGCTGCTCCAGTTTTCCATTAGGGTAGCCCTGCTGCAGAGTGGCCCAGGACCCCAGGACCACACGGATCACAGCTCCAGGCAGCAAGCTACCCAAACGTGCGAGGAACACACAGTCTGCATGGAGGATGTGTCTACACAAGGCCACTCCTCTAAGACTGGGAGAGGCAGCTCTTCCACCTCATTCATAGAAACAAACACAGAAAATCAGATTTAAAAAAGGAGCAGAGGAATATGCTAGTTAAGACAAAATTTCAAGGAAATAACTAAACCAAAATGAGATAAGCCATCTACCTGACAAAGATTTCAAAGTAACGATCATAAAGTTGCTCAACAGACTTGAGAGAAGAGAGGATGAATTCACTAAGAACTTCCACAGAAAGACACTTTTTTAAAAAAAAACTGAGGTAAAGACTAAAGTAACTGAAATAAAAAATATACTAGAGGTAATCAACAGATTAGATGATGCAGAAGATGCAGAAGAACAGATGAGCAATCCAGAAAATGGGAACAAAAAACATTCAAGCTGAACACCAAAAAGAAATGGAATTTTAAAAAATGACAACATCAAGCAAATTAACATTCTCATGATATGGATCTCAGAAGATTAAGAGAGAAAGGGGCAGAAAATTTATGTGAAGAAATAACAGGGGCACCTGGGTGGCTCAGATGGTTGGGCATCTGCCTTCGGCTCAGGTCATGATCCCAGGGTCCTTGGATCGAGCCCCACATCGGGCTCCTGGCTCAGCAGGGAGCCTGCTTCTCCTTCTCCCTTTGCCTCACTCCCTGCTCATGCTTTCTCTCTCTCTGTTATTTCTGTGTCTCAAATGAATAAATTAAATCTTAAAAAAAAAAAAAAAAAGAAAAAGAAATAACAGCTGAAAACTTCCCTAACCTACAGAACAAAAGAGACATTCAGGTTCAAGAAGCAGAGAGCCCCAAAGAGGGCCATACCAAAACACGTAATAATTAAAATGTCAAAGATCAAAGATAATGAGAAGATCTTACAAGCAGCAGGAGGAAACCAAACAGTTATGCACAACAAAAAAACCTATGAGGATATCAGCTGATTTTTCAGCAGAAACATTGCAGGCCAAAAGAGAGTGGCAAGATGGTACTCAAAGTGCCAAAAGGAAAAAAACTGACAACCAACAATCCTCTGCACAAGGTTATCACATAAAATCAGAGAAACAGAGTTTCCCAGACAAACAAGTTAAAGGAGTTCATCACCACTGAACCAGCCTTACAAGAAATGCTAAAGGGACTTCTTTAAGTGGAAAACAAAAAGCCATGATGAGAGGGTAAGAAAACAATGAAAGGAAAAAATTTCAAGGGTAAAGGCAAACACACAATACATCAATCACTTACACTGCTAGTATGAAGGTTAAAAGGCAACAAGAGTAAAATCATTTGTACTTAAAAAATTAAGGGAGTCACAAAAAGATGTAAAATATATAAAAGATGGATGAGAAAGTAAAAATATAATTCTTTTAGAATGTGTGATAGAACTTTAGCAATGAGCAACTTAATATAAACTGCTATATACTTAGGATGTTATATATGAACCTCAAGGTAACTGTAACACAAAAACCTGTAAGAAATACACCAAAAAATAAAAAGGAATCCAAGCATAAAACTAAAAGTCATCAATCACAAGGGAAGAGCAAGAATGGTGAGCACTGTGAATTGTACAAGACTGATGAATCACGGATCTGTACTTCTGAAACAAATAATGCAATATATGTTAAGAAAAAAAGAAGAAGAAGAAGATAGCAGGAGGGGAAGAATGAAGGGGAGTAAGTTGGAGGGGGAGACGAACCATGAGAGACGATGGACCCTGAAAAACAAACTGAGGGTTCTAGAGGGGAGGGGGGCGGGGGGATGGGTTAGCCTGGTGATGGGTATTAGAGAGGGCACGTATTGAATGGAGCACTGGGTGTTATGCACAAACAATGAATCATGGAACACTACATCAAAAACTAATGATGTAATGTATGGTGATTAACATAACAATAAAAAATTATTAAAAAAAAACAAGGGAAGAGCAAGAGAATAAAGAAACAGACAACTACAAAAGCTATCAAAAAAATTAACAAATGACAAGTACATACCTATCAATAATTACTTTAAATGTGAATGGTCTAAATATTCTGATCAAAAGCCACAGGGTATGCATAATAAAAAAAAAAAAAAACAAGACCCATCTACATGCTGCCTAGGAGAGACTTAACTTCAGACAAAAAGACACATATAGACTGAAAATGAAGAGATGGAAACACATTCCATGTAAATGAAAGCCAAAAAAAAAAAAAAAACTTGGGTAGCAATACTTCTATCAGACAAAATAAACTAAAACAAAGACTGCGAGGCACCTGGGTGGCTGAGTTAGTTAAGCGGCTCAGATCATGATCCCAGGGTCCTGGGATAGAGCACCACATCGGGCTCCCTGCTCAGCAGGGAGTTCACTTCTGCCCCTCCCTTTGCCCCTCTCCTCACCTCCCTGCTTGTGCTCTCTGCTCTCTCTTGGGTTCTAAAATAAATAAAATATTAAAAAAAATAAAATAAAACAAAGACTGCAACGGAAGACAAAGAAAGGCATTATGTAATGATAAAAGGATCAATCCAACAAGAGAATATTACAGTTGTAAATACACACCCAACATTAGGGCACCTAAATACATAAAACAAATGTTAACA